TATTCAAAATTAGGCGTATTTTATGTGTGAGCAACGATTTGTTACTTGTTGACTTTTGTACCCCTGAATTATATAATTTTAAATTTATTAAAATAGAGTAAAATATACTAATATTCGTTGTTTTATTCAGAAAAATTTCATGTAAAAAATTAAGTCGATTTTTCGAAATACATTGATATTTTAAAGAAAATTAAATTGTATCTTATAAGACAGGGCTTCTCAAACTTTTGTCCTCCGGGACCACATTTACGATTGCAAGTTTTCTATAGATATAAAAAAATAAATTAATATTTTTAAATAATTTGTATATTTGGTAATAATATACTTATACATCCAAAACTATATAGTTTAAGAATTTGTTGAGAACACAAAAATCAAGACGTGATGTTATTAAACGATATAAATATCTGACATTAAAATCACTTGCGACCCCAGAATTTTTCCCCGCGACTCCATTTGAGGTCGCGACCCATAGTTTAAGAAGCCCTGTTATAAGATACTATTAAATTTTCTTATGATAGTATGTTATAATAATACATTTTATTATAATAGTATCTTATAAGATCCTATTTAATTTTCTTGAAAATATTAATGTATTTCGAGAAATCCACTTAATTTTTTGCATGGAATATGGCATAAACATATGGAATAAATATATGGAATAAACATTTTATAAAATATTTTAGTAAAATGTTTGTGTATTATGTTCAGATAAATAGAGTTGATTTTAACTTACTCTATAGTTATGAATGTTTTAAACAAAATAAGTGTTTTAAATCATAATTGCATGATTTTCAATCATAATATAATTTCATAAAAAAAATCTAAGCATAACGTCTCCTTCATCTATGCAGAGATCTTCATCAAGAAATTACTTCAGATTTTGTTCAAAAAGTATAAGTAATTTAATAAAGCTCAATCTAAGATTGGTCAAGGTAGGTATTTAATCTGAATCCATGTGGTTTGAAACCACATTTAAATTATTTTGATGCCACCTTTAAATATTTTTGATTTACCCAAATTAAAATAGATTTATTACTATTATTGCTTAGATTACAATCTGGGAATTCTAAATTTTTCAGATAATTTGTAATTTGTTAAATAATTCCTTGATTAAAATCTGGAATTGGCTTTCAAAAACATCGGAAACAAAATTACATACACTATATTCTTCATTACAAACCAAGATATATGTATTAAATTATATTATTATATATTTGTAGTTTATTAAGTGTTATGTATATATGCAAAGCTATCTATGAACTCTTAATACTCTAATTTTCTCATATATTAGTAATTATCTTTAATAGTATTATCTTTAGTTTAAAATGTAATTATATCATTCAAATAAATAAATATTTTTGAAAACAAAAAAATGCCCTATTTTTGAGTTTTATATTTAAAACATCCGGTTAAACAGTTAAAAAATTGTGCTAATACGCCTAAACTTTCTGTTATTAGAGAATTCACAATAAAGCTAAATCACTTATAAATAATTTTTGTAAATCCATAATTTTAGATAATCTTTTATCATGAATTACTATGACCTATTTCCAATTAGTTTACTTTATTATTGAATTTTATCTACATCCGCGTTAATACTTCGCAAAGCCCCAAGGTAGAGATTTAAGAATTTAGCAGAAATTCTTCATACAAAAATGTCGTTCGAAATCACTTTCATTGTCAAAATATAACCCTATATACACTTTCACTGAATACCGTTTGTTTAGGCAAAGTAGGGATATACTAATTACAGTATATATATTTGTTCAAGCAAAATTAAAATCATTACAATTGATTTGTTTAGTAAATTACATACAGTAGATTAAATTTACAAAATGGTTAAGCCGGCAATTATTCTGTTGGTGAGTTGAATGTTCAATATATTGAAATAGGGCAGTTGTGGTGAAATTTAAATACTTTGTGCAGTTTTAGTGTATGCAAAAATCACAATGTTATTCGAATAATAAATAAATAAACAAATTACGGTTTATAAAAGATAAAATAACGATTTTTCTGGAAAATTTGTGGATAAATCATGAGCAGTTTGTTTGAAAACTAGAGTAACTGTTCTAAGAAAACACCTGATTAATAATATGCAGTTTTTTAAATTAGTTTCAAACAATTTTAATATTGTTCAATAGTAGAATAAAAATATAAATAAATTCTCACTTTTATTGCCATTGATGATGATCATGAAGTAAAATATTTAAACGTATAATTTAAGAACTTTTTGATCTAATAGAACTTGATGTGTAGTCAAAAGATTACAGATTCATAAATATATAAATATAAATAATAAAATAAATGTAAAATAATATATGTATATATGATACATATACATATATTCTTGTAAATTAAAATATTTACTCACAAAATTTATTCCTCCTTTGCCAGGCGATCGTCGCAATTGCAGTGTTACCTCCTAGGACAAGCTCAACAAAAGTTCTTTTGGCAAAAAAAGCAGCTTTAGTGGCAGTACCCGTAACAAAAGCTCTTAAGACAAAAGCTGCGCTTGTTAAAACAGCAGTAAAGTTGCCTGTGGAATTATTCAAGAGCAAAGTTAATACGGTTTCCAAAGTGATTAGAGAAGGTAAATAGACATACTATAAACTGTATTGTAAATAACAATCAAATAGCACAAATAGGTAAATGTAATCCTAATCTTATTGTTAGGCTATAAAATCTATTTTAGAAGTTGTGCGCTTTATAAAATTCTCCAATTAATTTATAAGTAGGCTTCGTGATATGTCGCTTACTAGCACATGTGCAGTGATTATTCTACTTTTAAATTATATTATTTTCAAAGTAATACTTTACTTTTCTTCCCCCCAGGTCCCCTTTCCAAGCTAGGAAAAGGTGCACCAGTAGCCGCAGCTGTAGGTGCAGCAGCAGCATCACCTTTGGCCGCCCTCACAGCCCTCACCGCTGGGCCATCAGTAATCTATGGCCAACCTGTCCCAGCCTTCAACATCCAATTCCCATACACAGATTATTACAGCAGTGGTTGGGCATCTCCATCAGTAGAACGAGTTCCAATTGCCGACGAAAATTCGGCAAAATCAGTAAACATAGGTAGTGGATTAGGCGCTGTTGTTGGTGAAGCTACATCTGCAGGATTAAGGACTTTGACTAATGTTGCTAGCACTATATCAAATGCTGCAGGTACTGCTGAAAATTTGCAAAGGCAGTTTATTAAAAGGCTGCAAGAAAACCCTGTTGTTAGTTTGGTGCAAAACACTTTGAATCCACCTCCAAAGCCCGCTCCAGTTTCATACAAGTAAGTAAAATTAAATAATCATGATATTAATGATTACATTGTTTGTGTCAATAATAGAATACAAAATAAAGTATTTAACAATATCGCTAATATATATCAAAATGTGGTTGATTTATCACATAATTTTATGCAAAAACAAATTTTATTTTAATAATTACTATATATAATTTTTTAAATTTTTCCTATATATATGTATATATATATATATATATATATATATATATATATAAATATATGTTTTCAAATTTTATCTATGATGGCCACGCTCTAGATAGATTACTGCTATTTTAGTTAGTTCGAACAATAATAAATTTATAAATGCATGGTTTTCTTAATTCGATGATTTCGGTCATATTTTCCGCTTCGCAGATGCTGCCTTATATTTATCATTCAAGATTCATCATATTAATCTATTTATAATACTGAAATTTTAGTATTTCTTGATTTTTTTACCCAGCTACTGGCCAAAATTAGGATTCAGTGAATACCACACTATCCAGTACCATCCAACTTATGGACATCCTGAACCTGTTTACGGTTTACCACCAGTCGCACCTTATCCTGACCAAAAACCGATACCAGAAGTAGAAATAACCACGACAACTACACCTGCACCAGAAACTACCACAGTCACACAAGAGCCTCCAACTTATGGTCTGCCAGCTGAATTTTATGGTCCTCCGTTTGTTGGTCAACGTACATTCTTTCCATATTTGTAAAATAGAATATAGTTGTCTACAATTTAATATAAGCATAGATTAATAATTATTTGAATATCTAAAATACCTATAACAATTAGCCAGAAAGACCAGTAACAGAATTGCAATTATTGATGAATTTTACCACATATTTATGAACCATTCTGTTAACTAATTGTAAACAATCTATGAAGATTAGTATCTGAAAAACAATTTATGTATAAGTATTATTTAAAAATAATTTAGTGTAATTTATTAGTTAATTAGATGAGTTTGTTAGTAGTAAAAAATGTTTTTAAAATGTAATAATTATTTCTGCTAATATAAAGAAAAATGTTTTCTTATGAACCAATTACATCTGTAAAAGTATACTTGATTTGTATTATATTCAAAAATATATTTATTTATTCTTATTAGATAATTTTCATTATTAGAATTAATTTGATCAAATCATTTATTATCAAATATAGATAGGCCAACCGATGGGTTGCTTTCGAAAAAGCGACATTAAGGAGATGTTTCATCACAGAACATTATACAACTTAAGTCCTGATTGGAGTTCGAAAATGAGAAATATATATATATATATATATATATATATATATATATTAATAAGCAACTAAATCAATCTAAATGTTTCTACTTTTACTAAACTGTTGCATTGTCTATTATTAGTAACACAAATAATTAGTAAAATAAATAAGGCCAATGCTGCTGCAGTGATAAGACTGCATATGAGGGTCAATAAGTTCATTTGCAGTATTTCTCGTGAAACCAGTGTCTTGCAAATTTGTGATCAGAATTATTAAATTGAAAACTTTATCTTCTAAATGATGGTCAATGTTATATAATTAAATTTTATAAGATAGTTTGTATTAAATTTTACGACGTTTTTCTAATTTATTAATAAACATTAATTGATATCAAAGTAGAGTAATCGATGCATAATATTATTTTAACTACTTCTCTGGAATACAAATTTATTACTAAATATCGATTTCAGTTACAAGCTGATCAGTAGTATATTTTCTGTGGTCAATCACCGGTTAGAAAATTGCCATCATGTCAACTAAAATCGTAAGTTGGTATTACAAATTAATATTATAATTTTTATCATTCAAATAATTTTCTAATTTTAATTTAACGAAGGCCTTCTGACGATCCATATAATAAAGCAGTAATTATTTAAATCTAATCTTTAGATGACTGATGATGGTTTTATTGTTTAAAAATATACTAATGTGCCCTTGATATTAGTAAGTAAGTAAAATCGATCAAAGCAATTCATTTGAAAGACAAATTTGAAATAAATTTTACTAATAAACATTATTATCTTTTTCTGATTATCAATATTTTTATGTTACTGAGACTTCTTAAAAATAATTTAATATTTTAATTCTGTCTCCAAGTATTATCAAAAACATTTATTTAGGAGAAGGAAACATCCCATATCACCAAAACGTAAAAATAATTAAAAATTAAACAATAAATATTTTTGTATAAAAATGAGGTCCAGAAATAAATAATCATTAATACATTAACTATCCAGAAAATTGGGACAATATATGTGAGTGTTTATCAACGTAAGTGTATGTGTATTTTTATATTACTGAGACTTCTAAAAAAATAATTTTATTTTTTAATTACGTCTCCAAGTATCATCTTAAATTTCAAATTATATTTCTCGCCTGAAATCGTTTATTTAGGAGAAGGAAACATCCTATATACAGAAAACGTAAAAATGAAGCATTTAACAAATATTTTTGTATAAAGAGAAGGTTTTTAGTTCAGAAATGGAAAATCATAAATACATTAACCATCCAGAAAAATTGGGACAATATATGTAAGAGTTATTTCAAAATATTCTAATTTGGAAGTGTGGTCGTCCCTAATCAATAGATCTGTTTTTCCATAATAACAATTAAATGCAATTAAATAGTTTGAACTGAAAAATAATAAAGATTACATATCTGTAAAAAGAATTATTTTAAATGAATTTTAAATTTAATTTGCATAACGTTTTTAAAAAAATTCATATATTAAAAAAATCTTTAATTCAACATTATTACTCGTATATTTAATAACATGCTTAATTAATCGCATCAACATATTTTTTAATAAGGAAACGGAATAACATGAATTTTCTCATTTTGTTATGTAATGTTTCAGTAAAATGTGTAATGTTTTAAATAAATATGCACTTACCTATTTAAGGCCTAGCATAAAATTCAATGTAAATCCTTTTTCAGGTATTAATATCCGCATTGCTGTTGCTAATATCTTCCACTGCCGTCCAGGCCCAAGTATGCAGTTGTGTATGCATCACAATATGCTGCACGCCCGAGCAGCTTTCAACCCTCTCCTGTCCCCAAGCGCAGCAGCAGCAGACGGGACTGACTGTCCAAACTCACCCTCCTAAAAATAATGCTGAGGCTTACCTCGAATACATACAGGCACAAAATATTTTAAATCAGTACTTACATCAACAGCAGTTGCGGCAATACCAAAAGCTTCAGGAACAAAAATTCCTCTGGCAACAGCAACAATTGCTAAATCAGCAACAATCGGTAAACCAGCAACAATCGGTAAACCAGCAACAACCTCAGATTATCATCACGGATATACCAACGACCAATATTGCACAGACTACGTGGGCAGTTGATGTTTCTAAGAAATATTGTAAGTGGTGTTTTTTTTATACTCAAATCTTTATTTGTCTTTGATATCCAATTAATATCAATACAAAAATTCTATAAAAAAACATATACTTATATACTAATAGTCCAGTCATTTAAGCTTAAATTAGGTATGAATCTCGAAATTCGAGATACCCAGCTGTAAGTCTGTAAATACCCTAAAATAGCACCCTAAAAGTTGTCTCGAAACCTACATATGGTACGTACACCCTACCATATGTAGGTTTTGAGACAACTTTTAGGGTGCTGTTTTAGGGTATTTACAAACTTACAGCTGGTTATCTCGAATTCCAAGATGAACTTACTATAATGACTGAACTACAAGTTATGGTAGAATTAAGGGCAGTAAGGGGAAAGATAAGTAAGGTAAATAGGAAGCAATAGATAATTTAACATGATATTTATGGAAATTAAAAAGATAAATTATTGGTTAATTATGAAGTTTGGAAGTCTGTAATTATTATAAGTGGTGATTAATTCAAATAAATGAACTTAAATAGGCATTTTTCGACCAGAAGATTGTACCAAAATACAGGCGGAATGTTGAATGATTTTGAATATGTATAATTTTCTCTAATCTTTTGGAAGATATAATATACTCATTTAACGTAATTTCAAGATAACATTTATAAAACAGTACAGAAATACATAAACTTTATCATCATAAAAAGTTTTACCAAATCTCAAAACAAAAGTCAACAATCACAAAGGAATGGTCCGGCCGATCAGTTCTGGATGCTTATTCGATTATAAAGAAACGTCTGGGCCGATCGTCGAGCTAATTTAACGTGGTGAAATCGGTATAGACGTTTTTGAGAAAATTTCGAAGAAAGGTGAAATTTTGGCTCAAGCACACATACTTTTTCCAACTTTGATGTAAAACAGTTCAGAATGACGTAGAGAAAACATAAAATTCTCAAATATTATTAACCTTTACGTGGTTATAATTAAATAAATTAATATATATTTCTATTTCAGTATTGGCTCTAATATTGTCAGTTTGCGACGAAACTACAGAAATCGATTCCACCGAGAGTACAACACCAAATCCGTGTCTCCCAGCAGAACCTCCAGCCTCAAGAAGTGCCCCTGATAATCAATTGTGTGATTATTCAAAACGACCCCTTAAAATTTGTACTTTGGTTAAAAAGCAACTTCAAGATTTTATAAAGAGTTCTTTGACTTCTAATACTGCCCATACTAACGATTTGATTTTAAAGAGTAAATTTTTACAGGCTTTGATACCATGGTAATGTACTTGTAATACCATTTGATAATGTTATAGAACATTATCTTCACCTCTGATAAAACTTATAAATGAAGTAAAAATAAAATATTTTTATACCTCATATTTGCTTCTTGGTTTGTCGACAAAGCTCAGTTTGTGAAAATTATGATTTATATAAAATAAAATATATTATATTTGAATTTTAGTACTGATGGAAAATTAGTAAATAATATTTGTAAGAAAGTATTCATGTTAATAAAACTACTGACCAACTGCGATTACTCATATCGCATATATTCTGAATAATACAAAACATTAGAAATATATTTATAATTCGTGTAAAGTTATTTGAAATATTTAAGCAGTTCATGTTATTTAAAAAATACATTTCATTCATGTATTTTAAAAATATTTTTAATAACTTTGAAGGAGCGGTTGTCCAAAATCATATAATGGACGAAATGATAATGAAAATATAAATGTTAAAAATAAGTAAGAATGTAATTCTTATATAATAGTTTTTAACATTTTTGATTTTTTTCTAATTGTGCGAAAGTAAGAAATGTTCGCGAAAAATTACGCTCATTCATCTGCTCCCAACTATGCCAACTTATTTTTCAGTGCCACTTTTAATTTAAAAATATGATTTTAAAAGATCTGAGTTCGATCTAAAAATTCACACATTTTTAGATCGAACTTTTCAGAAAATAAATTAAAATCAATAAAAAATCCTGGCTTCATCAGTCGAATATAAAGTTATCTATTATCTTTACATCAAATATTAAACCCTGATTTCATAAATTTAGTAGACAAGTCTAAAATACGATTGGTATCTCACGAACGCAAAAATAATCTGATATTCCATCGACACAGGATATTTAAAGATAAATATTTTACTTTTTTGTCTCTGTCATTCAATCGAAGACAATTGCTATTACCAACGATTGCAATTTATAAAGGTGTTGATTTTCGATGATCATTGTTCATTTGTTCTTGGAAAGTCAAAGGTGTTGTGCTAATTAAACGAAATGCTCTTCAATATGTGCAGAATTAATCCAACTTATAGGATTTTGGTGAGAACAATAATTATTAATATATAATTACAATTATTTTTTATTTAATATTTTAATATTAGTTTGTATTACTGGTTTTAAACCTTGTTTTTCCTACCGTTGATACACATTCACCCCCGAATGGTTTTGAATGGAGTAAAGATCGGATTTTTGGATTAATTGGCCTGGTGTTTGCAATTAATTTTATATTATATTTATGTAAATATTTCAGGAAGTGATAATGTATTTTTTTACGGATTAATTACGAAGCGGTCCGGCCAATCTTTGCCAAAAACCAATTAGTACGATCCATCACTTATAACTTTTGAAAGTTTTTTAAATTTTCAAAATTGGTTCAGAATTTTTTGTGTAAACATGGAAAAACTAATGTGCAGTTTTTCCAAATTCTAAAAAACGGCTCGATTGATCATCTTGCAAAACCAATAAACGAGAATCCTTATCGAATGAATAAATTAATTTTCATTAATTTTAATTTATTATTAATTTTTTTTAGTTATAGTTTGTATTTGTCCAACATTCTACGAATTCCATAAATTAACTAAAATAAATTAAATATTTATTCCACCATTTCGATTTTTTGTGTATACTTTTAACAGTAATCAGACAAATTTAACAAATTTATTGTTAATTTTTTAAATTTTTTATTTATTTGTTATATTATATATTTATTTGTCCAACATTTTAAGAAATCCATACCATTTTTTTTATTGATATATTATTTTCATATCTCAGTCAGACAGGGGTGCCTGATATGAGAGATCATGAAACAATTTTCATACATTTTCAAATTTTCAGAAATTTCGATTTTTTTATTTTAGAATCTAACTTTTTAATCACCGTGGCTCTATAGAAGGCATCCTAAACGGTTGTCCTATCTCTATATAATAAATTTATTATTACAATTTCTCTAATACTGATGAATTTCAATTTTAATTATATTTAATCATTTATCCATTCTTATCCTTTTAAATATCTCATTACAAAACACCACTAGCCATTCTTGCTGTTATCAAATATTATTTTATAATATTTGCTAATTTCTGTCTCGGGTCATGTATCAAATTCTTTCAATGTTTTTTATTTCACGGTTTCAAGGACTGCAGATATTAATTACCTCTGGGTTTTGTAAAAATTATTCCAGGTAGATTCAGAGAGTAATATAAGTAGACCCATAGAAGAACAGTTGTTTAAATATTTTGTTAAATATTATGCAAATTATAGGATACTGATGGACCCGTCTTAAAAAAAATTGTTTGATATAGTGTTTTTTGCAAATCGACCGTGACATTTACTGATCCAACTTATATTTGAAACAAATTGTTGGAAGAGCATAAACATCCATGCATGGTTCTAACATTTGACTAAATACTTTTATATCTTAATTAATGAATTTTATCAAATGATGTATAATTTTTTTAATGGGTAATACAGTATTGCTGCTTAAATTACTTAGTAGGTATTTTATTCATAATTATACATCATCTAATTAAAAATCATCTAATTAAAAAAAATGCTTTTATCGAATCCAATACAAAGGCCATTACATAACACAATCACTAATTGGTTTGGATATTTAAATCTTTTATCGTTTTAATATATGTGTTATTTTTCTGCATTTTCTAAATTTGGTTCATAATGATTTTATTTAAAGTTTTATGATTTGCAGTTAGTTTTGAAAAGAACTCGGCTTTTCCATTCGCTTTGCAGAATTTTTATAATTTTATTATTATATCTTGTAAAAGTTTATTTTAGAAGTTTATTGCACAAAAACTAGAAAAATGTGTTATTTCCTAAGTAATAACCCCAATTAAATCGGAAAAATGCAGTTTTATTTGCAATAAGAACTTGGCATCTTGTAGTAGACAAATGTGAATAAATATAAAAGATCGATAATATTTTTCTTGTATAGACATTATAACTATTAGATATGCAGATGTCTCAACTAATAATAATAGTAAATGTCTATATAAAATTACATATTAGTATTAATTTAAATATTAGTGTTTTCAATAATTTAATCAAGTTGTAAATTATAATATTTTAATTAGCACATATATGAAATAAATTAGCATAAAATGTCGCTTAAACGTGTATAATTAAAAACATACAATAACTAATGTAAAATTATATAATTCTAAATATTTCGAAATGAGTGCCAATTACAAGTTGTCTATAAAGTTAATTATAACATAATAAATTTCTTTTCCAATCTACTTTACTCCGTATTAGTTGTGATATTCAAAATTTAATTAAACACTGTTTATAAAGATAGTCAGATTGCCGTATTTATTTACAATGAATGCTATAGCATCCACGTCAAGTATTACGCTTCTATTTAACGCAGTGTGCTTTTTCAAGCTAATTAGTGATTATGGGAAAATACAAGAGTTAATACAAAAATACCTGAAGAATCAGTCATTTCTCCATCAAAAATTTTATCAGTTCCTCATTTCATCAATCCAAATAAAATGTTTTATTATTGATTCAAATCGGACGCTCATTATCGCAAAAACTTTGGACACTTTTTGTTCCGTATCTTCGAAACGACTGGATCTGCCTTTGTCAAAAACTAATCAGCACGTCTCATCATCAATACAAATCGATTGATCCATGCTCATCGACGAAAAATGGTATCCAAACACACGCATACAACAATTTTTTACAACCATGCAATAAGGTATGCCAAAATGTTCAGAAACCATTGAAACTTAAAGATATGCAAAGATTTTCAATTATGATTTTTGAACGTTTAAAATAACTTACCATACGGAAAGTTAATATATGACTTTAAAATTTGAATGCTAAAGCACTTATGTCATTCTGCTTCGCAATGAAAATGAATGCTATAGCATTCACGTCCGCAAAAATGTTAATAATCACGTTTAAAATAACTTACCATACGGAAAGTTAATATATGACTTTAAAATTTGAATGCTAGAACACTTATGTCATTCTGCATCACAATGAAAATGAACGCTATAGCATTCTCGTCCAAAAAAGTGTTAATAATCACGTTTAAAATAACTTACCATACGGAAAGTTAATATATGACTTTAAAATTTGAATGCTAAAGCACTTATGTCATTCTGCATCACAATGAAAATGAATGCTATAGCATTCACGTCCGCAAAAATGTTAATAATCACGTTTAAAATAACTTACCATACGGAAAGTTAATATATGACTTTAAAATTTGTATGCTAGAGCACTTATGTCATTCTGCATCACAATAAAAATGAATGCTATAGCATTCACGTCCGCAAAAGAGTTAATAATCACGATTAAAATAATTTATCATACGGAATGTTAATATATGACTTTAAAATTTGAATGCTAGAGCACTTATGTCATTCTGCATCACGATGAAAATGAATGCTATAGTATTCAAGTCCGCAAAAGTGTTAATAATCACGTTTAAAATAGCTTACCATACAGAAAGTTAATATATGACTTTAAAATTTGAATGCTAGAGCACTTATGTCATTCTGCATCACAATGAAAATGAATGCTATAGCATTCACGTCCTCAAAAGTGTTAATAATCACGTTTAAAATAGCTTACCATACGGAAAGTTAATAAATGACTTTAAAATTTGAATGCTAGAGTACTTATGTCATTCTGCATCACAATGAAAACGAATGCTATAGCATTCACGTCCGAAAAAGTGTTAATAATCACGTTTAAAATAACTTACCATACGGAAAGTTAATATATGACTTTAAAATTTGAATGCTAGAGCACTTATGTCATTCTGCATCACAATGAAAATGAATGCTACAGCATTCACGTCCGAAAAAGTGTTAATAATCACGTTTAAAATAACTTACCATACGGAAAGTTAATATATGTCTTTAAAATTTGAATGCTAGAGCATTTATGTCATTCTGCATCACAATGAAAATGATTGCTATAGTATTCACGTCCGCAAAAGTGTTAATAATCACGTTTAAAA